TGGACTCAGGTATAAGGACTAATTAGAGAGTGTTTAAAGTACCACAGGAAAAAAAATGATCACAGGAGTCACTGAGGTGCATATGGATATTTTAACCAAAGTATTTTTTACTAAAGGAAAAATATTAAAGGATTTTAAAACATCTTTTTAAATGTTTACTTATTTTTGAGAGAAAGAGAGAGAGCTGCATGAGCAGCGGAGGGTCAGAGAGAGAGGGAGACACAGAATCTGAAGCAGAGTCCAGGCTCTGAGCTGTCAGCACAGAGCCCAGTGTGGGCTCAAACCCACGAACCATGATATCATGACCTGAGCCGAAGTTGGACGCTTAACTAACTGAGCCACCCAGGCACCCCTAAAGGGTTTTAAATCATGACTGATTAATTTAGCTAAATCACATAACTTTAAAATAATCCTCCAAAGGACTGTATGGCTCCTCTTAGTATCATCAGCAAAATATTAAACCTATAAAAAAATTCAAGACAGTTAAGTATTTCTCCATAATACTAGCTATTTATTTGCAACTACTTTAAACTTTTTTTTTTTAACGTTTATTTATTTTTGAGACAGAGAGAGACAGAGCATGAACGGGGGAGGGTCAGAGAGAGGGAGACACAGAATCTGAAACAGGCTCCAGGCTCTGAGCTGTCAGCACAGAGCCCAACGCAGGGCTCAAACTCACGGACCGCGAGATCATGACCTGAGTCGAAGTCGGCCGCTTAACTGACTGAGCCACCCAGGCGCCCCATTTGCAACTATTTTAAAATCAATTTGATACTTTAATTTTTAATGAATATGGCTATTTTCAGTACATTAGAATTACTCTTCTCACAAATGCCGCCCACATTTACATGTTAATTTATCCAACTTCTTCATTTATATTTTTAAAGGTGCAATATAATTTTTAAGTATTTTTTTTTTAATTTTTTTTTCAACGTTTATTTATTTTTGGGACAGAGAGAGACAGAGCATGAACGGGGGAGGGGCAGAGAGAGAGGGAGACACAGAATCGGAAACAGGCTCCAGGCTCCGAGCCAGCAGCCCAGAGCCTGACGCGGGGCTCGAACTCACGGACCGCGAGATCGTGACCTGGCTGAAGTCGGACGCTCAACCGACTGCGCCACCCAGGTGCCCCTAAGTATATTTTTTAAAGCACAGAATCTTATAAGTAAATGGCCATATTTTATACTCTTTTGAATTAGCAAACTATTATTTAGTAAACGTTGCAAATGCCTTTTTGGACTATGTATGGATTTGGAATTAACATTATTCAAAAAAGCCTAACAACAAAAAAAGATCATTAAATATGGCATTTGGGAAGACTGGACTTTAAAAGCTAAGAAAAATTGGTGGCAGCTTCATTATCTATGGAACTACCTACAGGGGACAAATGAAGAACCTGCAGCTGAGCTGAAGGTTGGTGCAGCAGAAGCCAGGGCCCCACTCGGCCTCCTTAACTTGGGACAGAACTTTGATTTCCTGCTCCTGACAGTCCTGCCTTTTCCTATTGAAAGGGCAAAACAGGGGCACTCAGTCAGTGGCTCAAGTCAGTTAAGCCTCCAACTTCGGCTCAGGGCATGATCTCGCAGTTTGTGAGTTGGAGCCCTACATCAGGCTCTGTGCTGACAGCTCGGAGCCTGGAGCCTGCTTCGGATTCTGTGTCTCCCTCTCTCTGCCCCTCCCATGCTCTGTCTCTGTCTCTGTCTCTCTCTCAAAAATAAAATAAAAACAGTTAAAAAAAATTTTTTTAAATGAAAGCATAACACAAAGAGCTGAGGAAAAGCCATTAGCTTCATTATCATTCTACCTAATACTAAAATAAATGTTCTCTCCTGTTAACAAAGTGTGGACACATATGCTGAAAGCATCAGAAAAAACATAATGGAAATAATCTGGGAAAGGTCTTCTGGGACTAAAGTTTCCTCATCTGTACAACAGAGGGGAGTGACCTGGGAGATTGGGGTGTGTTGGCGGGGGGGAGGGGGATGCTGGATTAATCCTAAAACCATTTCCAGCCATAACTTTCAGTGATCTAAAAGTCAAAAGCTTTTGATCCCTGACACTATGAGGCTAATATCGGATGTGGTTATTTGTAGGTTTTACAAGTTCAGGGAAAATACAGATGATAAAACCATAGACTCTGCTTCTATGAACAGCTCTAATTTTAAATGGATCTAATTTTAAAGATGATGAATATTTCCACATGAGAGTATATATATGAAAGTGAAAAATTTTATAAAAGCTGGACAAATTAGAAAACACGCAAAAATCCAGCTAAGCTTCAATCTGTGTGCGAGAGAGTATGTTTTGAAAGGGTGTGGTTTCCTGACTCTGGATTGTTTGGAAATATTCTGACAAAGCCAAATTCATTTCTCTGATATCTGAACACAGCAAGGAACTCGTGCCTAAAATAGCATAAAACATGATATTCCTATGCATGTAATCAATGTAAGTCAACTAAAAAATGTGACAGACGCCCATAAGATTTTTAATCTGTGTTCTCATAATTCCTTTTGTAGAGATAGTATCTGCCATTGGCTGGACTAGAAAATTTAGCAACACTTAGCATACTTTTCACTCACTTGTTCATTAGCGCAGTTTTCACCTATTAAACAAGTATTTTTAGAACTCTTACTATGTGCCAGAAACCACTTCTTTTAAAATCCTTCCAGGTTTATTTGTTTAACTTCATACTCCTTTACTCTCTCTCTTGTCTTTGGTAGGTATGATGCCATGTTTACACTACCCAGGAGCACATTTAAACTGTGGTACTCAAAGCAGAATGCTCTCTTATGAAGGGAAAAACCCAATCCACATACATGGGTCAGGAGGAGCAGATAAACAGATGAGCAATTCGGTATTTTTTACCCTCCCCCTCCCACCTCAAGAGAAATACAGTTCTGGCTGCACTTAATGTTGCTTCTTCCTCTGTTGTAAAGAGAAGTTATGCCTGCGGTGACCTACTTTTACAGAGTGAATCTGAGACAGAAATAACAGACAAAAGACTTTATAATATATAGTAAGTAATTATAAACATGTGTGATTGCTTTAACATAAAAATATTTTATGTGGATGGAGATTATATATTATTCTGCATTATTTCCTTCTCTGTGCATAAATGTTAACAAAACAACAGAAGAACCAGTTAATAGTGGCAATCAGTAGTAATTAATAGGACTATTTGAACAATGTATTAGAAAAATGTAACAAGATTTTATGTTTTTCTGTCCTCTGATATAACAATTTAACTCTTAAAAAATATTTATTGGGTATTTAAATTTTGTAGGCTTTATATTGTATATTTTTAAGATATATAAATTTAAGACTCCTTAAAAGGAAAATATAAATACAACAGGGCTAAACAGATACATTTAACTACCACCACCCACAAAAATAATAATGCCCTGCTTCTTTCAGTGCCATGATACAATAGGATATTTTTATTCTTTCTGTTTCCTTTTTCAATAACACTTGTCTGAACCACCTGTAGCAGTTTAGACATCCTTTGTTTATGTGCTCGCAAAACTGAATAGTCATATGTAAAATTCATTTTGACTCGCAGCTCTGTTCAGCTCAAACCCACGTGACACGGATCCCTGGTGTCAGCCCAATGTAATGACATTAAGCTAAATATCCTCTCAACAAAACCATTTGAGGGTGGAATGCTTAGGATTTCATTTACTAGCAAGGACAGGTTTTTCGACTTGTGGGAATTCATTCCCACCTCTCCAAAAACATCCATCCACATTGTACCTAAAGGCTTGTTAATCAGGTTGTTTGCACCTATAAATTCATCACATAGGCTATCCCTGTCTAAAATATCTATTTTATAAAACTTTATTTTAAAGTAATTGTAGAGTCACAAGAACATGCAAAGAAATGTTCAGGGAAATCCCATGCTCCCTTCACCCAGCTCCCTGATGCTAGCATCTTACACAACTCTAATACAATATGGAAACCAAGAAATTGACAGTGGTGCTTTCCAAAGACTGTGTTCAGACTTCGCCAGTTATATAAGGGCTTGTGTTGTGCATGTGCGTGTAGCTCTATGCAACTTGATCGCTGTGGTCTTATATAGCCACAACCACCACCACCAAGATACTCAACTGTATTTTCACCACAAGAATCTCTTATGTTTCCTCTCCCACCAATCTCTAACCCCTGGCAACTAATAATCTGTTCCCCATCTCTATAATTATATTACTTCATGAATGTTACATAAATGGAGTCATACAGTATACAACCTTTTGGAATTGGTTTTGCTCACTCAGCATGTTTTCCTTAGGGTTTATACTAGCTGTTGCATGTATCATTAATTCATTCCTTTGTAAAAATAATACTAATACTAATACTAATACTAATACTAATTCCTTCCTTATTCACCTTATGGAGGTATCATAGTTTAACTATTATCCATTGAAGGACATTTGAGTACTTTCCAACTTGGGAATAGCATGAATAAAACTACTTTGAATATTTGTGTACAAATCCCTGCCTGAAAATAACTTTTCATTTCTCTGGGACAAATGCCCAAAAATTCAAATGCGGGGTCCAATGGTAAATCCTATTTGGGGGTGGGGGGGTTGAGAAGAACTGTAGAAATATTTTTCAGAGTAGCTGTACCATTTTACATTCCAACCAACAATGTATGAGTAATGCAGTTTGCTTCCTTGCCAGCATATGGCGTTCTCACTGTGTTTCATTTTGGCCATTCTGGTAGGTGTGTAATTGTATCTCATTGTAATCTTAATTTGCCTTGCTCTAATGGCTAATGAGAAATTCACCTGTATATCTCCTACAGGGAAATGTCTACGTCTTTTGTCCATTTTCTAACAGGATTTTTATTTATTTATTTATTTTACTCTTGAGTTTTGAGAGTTCTTTGTATAGCCTAGATATAAGGACTTTGTTGGATATGTAGTTTGCAAAATATTTTTTCGTGACTCTTTTCTAATGACATTTTTTCCCTTTTCCAATAATTTAAAAAAAAATTGAAACAGTCATTTCCAAAAAGGAGTCATTTTATTACCATATGAGTTTTTGCCACAACCTATATATAACACTAAATGACTCAGATTCAGTCACTTTATCCTTTCATAGGCTTCTTAGGGCTTCATCAAAGATCACTAAAAACTTCTGAAGAAACAGCATATAAATGTCTGTTTTACTGTCCTTTTCCCTCCGTTCTCATCTTCAGTGTTACTCCAAATTAGAGAAGGACATTCCTTTTGTCCCACAACACTTGAAAATACGATTTTACACCCGGCCAATTCGTTAGTATCATTTTATACTGACAACAATGACCATCATCTTGTAAGGCAAAGATGCTTAGGAGGCTCTCTCCCTGCATTGCTATAAATTCAAACATCTCATTAAATGCTTCTGCACATTTTGAGGAAATGGAAAAGTGACTCAAAACTTGGATTATGAAAGCCTCAATTTCATAGGTAAACAATCACACTGCTTCTGTTTTTAAATGCTTTTTTTTAAAAGAGTATGTGTATGAGGCATGTAGGCATTTAATAGGTAAGATCATTTCAGTTTCTTTGGTGAGAAGTTTGTAGATTGAATGGAACTTCCAAAATTTACATTTGAACTATCCTGGATCTGCAAACAAGTAAGCAAAGTAGAATGAGATGTCAACAATCTTTGTGCCTTTTTTGTTGTCTTCAGATTTCATTAAAATCTTCACACAAATCAAGAAGATGATTCAAAATTTTAATTATAAATCAAAATACAGCTGAGCAGAACATTTGATCTGATGTGCTACGGACAGCAGGATGGTTGCAGAGACCTGAGAGAATTAGCTCTATACCATAAGGGGCAAATGTATCTGGCATTTAGGTTTCCTTGTTTGCCCACAAGGGTGCATTACTGTAACCTGTGAATCAGAAAATGTAAGCTGCATAGAGCAACAGGGAATAAAACCATAATGCATATTCATTCGTGTGGTATGTCTAAGATTGTTCAGCAGCAGCTATTTCCAACTGATTATTGATCTCTTTTGGGGAGATGAGAAAACTTTTCATTGACTTAGAAGTACTCGCGGATCTCAGCCCAAACTGGTGGGATTCGGCTTCCAAATGTGCCTTCACATCACCTTCTCCATGCCCAGTTCCAATGTCCATTCTGTGTATTGTGTAGCATGCCCTGTTTTGCTGATTTGACTCCCCAATCCAGTTGAATGCGTCCTTCCATCTGTCAGTAAAACACCAGTCACTTAGCTTTCTTTTTCAATGAGATGTGGGCCATGCTGGCATTGCTATTGTAATCGTTAATTATCTGAATTCTTTGAAGACATGATCAGAATATTCACAATGTTAACATTTTAACAAGCACTATCTTAAAGCACAACAGTTAATCAACAGGCCACGTCAAAGCCATATTCTTAACACTCATGATTACAACATCCTTAATTACACACTTAAATCTCCTTGCTCGGAGTGATGCAACAATGGATGATGATCCATTACTATGAACTGTAAATCACAGATACCATGAGTATTAGAGTAAAAAGGGTGACAGCAACTACAGAGAGTAGATCATCTATGCAGTACATTTTGGCAGTAAAGCGCCCCTGCTTTTGGCCCCTATTTGGAGGCCACCTCACGGGTTTCATACTTTTCCCTCAATCTTCAGTGCTCACCACCAAAAGCCAGGGAGTGGTTTCCTGTGACAAAGGGTTTTCAGTGCTAGAATCGGGACACTGGGCAACAGAAGACATCTAGTCACCCTAGTGTGAAATGCAGAAGAGTTATTCTAGAAAGCCCTAGAATAACTAGTCACCCTAGCGTGAAATGTAAAAGAGTTATTCTAGAAAGCCCTCAGAGTAGGATTGCCCCTCTTACTGGCTCTGGTCATCCCTTGACCTGATTACGTTCATTCCAGAGGACCAGAGAGGGAAGTTTTGGAGAGCAGATACATGGGCTGGTCTCCATCTCTTCCTCCTCCTCTGCCATGTCCCCAGTTCACTCTTGGTTCAGAAATTCAAACTGTATATAGTCTCCTCACTTTCCCCTTTCCAGGAAAGGAAGAGACAGAAGTTGGAGGGGCAAACCCCACAATAGGAAGGCTGCAGTATGAATGCTCCCAAACTTTTCCAGTTTTTCCACTCCAATGCTGTGGAGTAAAGCTGCACCATTATCGCCCTGCTGTAAATACAAAGCATTCTTCTCCATAATTCATTAATTGTTTCCTTATTAGATGTCACTCACGGTGCCGTCTGGAATATGAGAAAGAATAAAAGGAAGGTCTCTGTCTTCAAAGAATCTGCAGTCTAGAGAGGGAGACAAATAAAAGGAGAACCAGTAGAGCAAGGGCTAAGAACACCGAGAGGGAACTAAGCAAGCAGAGAAAAGGAAAACTTGGATGGAGGTTTGGGGGGGAAGGTGTTCCTAGGAGAGAACTTGGTGGAAGTGTGACTATCTTAAACAGAAAATCGCTAACCTCAGAATCAGAGTTCCTATACTGCAAAGTCCTTGAAGTATGTTTCAAAGGGTACCACCAGTTTGAGGACTGCTCCTCTAAAAATAGGACATTGACATTTCCCAAGAGCAGCAAGAAGAACTCACAAGAGGGGAATGTGACTGCATAAGGCTGACAAGGGGAAGGAGTCTTATCCCCTCCCCACTTGCCTGGAAGGCTGGGCCTTAAACATGGTGGTAGGGCACTGAGCCAGCATTCCAATGTAGTCTGAAGTTGAGTTTGGCTAATCTACAACAAAAAGCTTACCAAGCAGAAGGGCAGGGGGAAAATATTTCAGCAAAAATATTTAACCCACTGAAAATAATTTATACTTGTGTACAAACAACCTGCTGATTAAAAATGATTCTTAACTACTCATTAAAAGGAGGCCCACCCTTTGGGACCTATACTTTGCAACACTTAGGTACTATTTAATGGGAGTTACAGTATAAGCAAAATATTAAAAGGCTGCATTTCTTTACATGCTATAATTTTACTTTTGACTAATTCCAACTTTCTCTGTGCTCAATTAGTCTGACTTAGTGAAGTTTTGTCATGTACAAGCTGTGAAGTCCTGACTTGTCTCTCAACTTGCCAGCAAGAAGTAGCAGGATCAGTAAATTCTCAAGATTTTAAAAAGCTCAAAACTGTAGCCCTTCTTCTCCTTTACTAATTTTAAATGACTGTAAGCCATTGGGAAAGTAAAAGTTATCACAAAAAATATAACCTATATCCTTTTTTTAATTAAAAAATTTTTAACGTTTATTTATTTTTGAGAGACAGACAGAGATAGAGCACAAGTGGCAGGAGGGGCAGAGAGAGAGGGAGACACAGAATCTGAAGCAGGCTCCAGGCTCTGAGCTGTCAGCACAGAGCCCCATGTGGGGCTTGAACCCACAAACTGTGAGATCATGACCTGAGCCAAAGTCAGACGTTTAACCGACTGAGCCAACCAGGTGCCCCATAATCTATATCCTTCTTGACCATAGCTGATGTGGCTGAGAATCAAATTTGAGTTTGTGGTCTCTGTCTTCTGATTTCTTGAAGTGTGACACATAACAAAGATGGGTTCAACGCCATAAATGGGATTTCCAAAGCCTGGAGACCTATGAAGAATTCCCATAACTAGGGGCATTTCCTGAGGTGGTGGGATAGAGAAAGGTGTTTTCATCTGCTGGTAAAATTTTAACTAGGAAGCTCAAGTTAAACTTTTTTATTTTGAGAAGGGGTGAAAATTTGGGCAAGGGAGAACTTCCATATGTAAGTATACAAGGAAGAATGAATGTTATGATCAGAAGTGCAAATCTTTGATGAAGAAATATAGAAGGACCATTTTGCGGGTCCCTTAACATCTGCTGCCCAAGCAACAAGAATGATGTTTTCTTTTTTTTCTTTTTTTTTTTTTTTGCTATTTTTTTTTTCAACGTTTATTTTATTTTTGGGATAGAGAGAGACAGAGCATGAACGGGGGAGGGGCAGAGAGAGAGGGAGACACAGAATCGGAAACAGGCTCCAGGCTCTGAGCCATCAGCCCAGAGCCTGACGCGGGGCTCGAACTCAGGGACCGCGAGATCGTGACCTGGCTGAAGTCGGACGGTTAACCGACTGCGCCACCCAGGCGCCCCAAGAATGATGTTTTCTTAAGTTACACATTTCTTCTCTGCATGTAAGAAGAAAATATCACTTCTGAAATGCTAAATTAATCTGTGGTTTGAGACAAGGAAAGTTGCATAATGGTCCTTGCTTTGCCAGATATATCCTGACCATGTGCATCAGTTGCTTATCAATAAAAATGAAAATCACTGCTTTTTACAAGTTGGTGTGTTGAGGATTAAATGGGCTCACATATGAGATAGCACACAGGCACTCAATAAATATCTGCTTATTGCTTTTGCTAAATTATTCTTTGCTTCCATTTTTAATTTTGACTTGCTATTTGATATTTACTGTTCTTATTTTTTTTATCAGTGTAAGGTCAGAAGAGTTAAGCAACCATTCTGAAGATGAAAAAAGTTATTTTCTAGGCCAGATTCAATTACTGAGTATCTATCATGTTCTATATGCTGGGGACTCAGCAGTTAAGAAGCCCTCAGCAGACAAAAAGCCCTTCCCCCACAAGCTTCCACTGCAGTGGAGAAAGACAGAAACAAATACAGTAAGTAAGAAAAACACACGTTAAATGGTAGAAAGTGCTAGGGAGAAAAATCAAGTGAAGAAGGATAGGGAATCCTTAGGAAAGGCAGAGGACAGTTCATTTTGTGGGTTCAGGAAGGTCTCATTATGAGAGCGCAGGGAGTGGGCCATGTACACATCTGAGGAAGACCTTCCAGGCAGAAGGGATGCCAACTGCAGGGTCTCTGAGATGGGAGAGGCCTTGGTGTGTCTGAGGAACAGCAAGGAGGCCAGCATACTGGAGCAGAGTTAAAGGGAAGCATGTCAAGGAAGTAAAGGAACTATAGCAGGGCGGGTGGGTCACACTGGGCCTCAGAGGCTTTTTTTCCTATGTGAAATGGCAGCCACTGGAGGAATGTGAACAGGAAGTGAAATGGAGCAATTGTTTTAACAGAACACTCTGCCGTATGCAGACAATGAAGTGAGAGGGCAAGGGTGGAGGCAGGAAGGCACCTAATGCAGCCTAAAGATGAGGTCTGCTGGTCTGGACTAGGCAGCATGGCTGGAGGTGCTGTCTGTGAATTCCAGATGTAGTCTGAAGGTAAGGCTGACAGGGTGTGTTGACAGACTGGATACAGAGTACAGAGAAAAAGAGGAGTCAAGGTTAATGCCGAGACTTGTGATATGTGCAACTGGAAGGATGGAAATGCCATAAAACAAGATCATAAAGACTAGAAAAAGCAGATTTTGATCAGGAGCTAGTCTTGGACACATTATATGTGAGTCCCATGTTAGACATCCATATAGGAGTGTTGAGTCAGCAGTTGGAGATGTGAATATGGACTTTAGGGAAGAGGGCCAGGTTGGAAGCATTGATGATCATCAATTTAAGACGCCTTAAGCCAGTGGTGCATGAGCTCACAAAAGAGTTGGTGTAAATGCAGAGAAGAGAACCAAAACCAAGCTTGGGGCATGCCAATGTTGAGAGGTTAGGGAGAAGGAGTAAAGGCAACTGAGAGTAAGTGACCACCACTAAGATACAGGAGGTGTCTTAGAAGCCAAGTGAAGAAAACATTTCAAGAAGGGACTGATTAATTGTGAACTGTGTCAAAGGCTATTGCTAGGTGAGGAAGATAACCAAAAGCTGACCAAAACTAATACTCCAAAATCTTCAAAAAAATTATGTTAAGCTAGTCTTTAACATAAGACATTTTTTAAATTCAGTTTTCAATGTTTTCAGAAGGCCTTACAATTAAACATGAGAGCTTCCACACATATTTATCTCTTTTCCTAAATCCTAAAATGACACTAAAGATAAGAAAGCTATAACACATAAGAACAAAGAGACAATATAGGTCAGGATGTGTCTCCTTCCCCTCTCGCTCCCCTAAACTCTAAACACATCCCGGAATCTATTCAAAGATGGATTCTTCAGCTAGGTCTAATTGGTCTCCTCAGGCATTCCAGAGGAATGGAAGCCCCAGAGACAGCAAAGGAAACACAGAAACCTCCCAAGACTAGAGCAGATATGTAAGGAGATGACAACCTTGGCGAGTGACAAGAATAAATACGTAATAAGTAAGGTAAAAATAATGACAAAGCATTACATTTAAATGGCAAAC